AGCACTCGGGAGGCAGAGGCAGATGGATCTCTGTGAGTTCGAGGCCAGCCTGGTCTCCAAAGTGAGTTCCAGGAAAGGTGCAAAGCTACACAGAGAAACCCTGTCTCGAAAAACCAAAAAAAAAAAAAAAAAAAAAAAAAAAGATAGAACAGGAGCTAGGCATTAATCCTAACACTCGGAGCAGAGGCGGGTAGATCTCTCAAGTTCAAAGCCAGCCTGGTCTACAGAGCGAGCTTCAGGACATGAGGGCTACAAAAAGAGATCCTGCCTCCAAAAACAAAATTTTAAAAAATAAAAAAAATTTAAAAAGGGCAGAAAAGAAAGACGAAAAAGAAACAAGGGCTGGAGAGATGGCTCAGTGGTTAAGCGCACTCGCTGCTCTTGCACAGGACCCAGGTTCCATTCCCAACACCCACTCTCGGAAACAAGGGATCTGATACCCTATTCTGGCCTCCACGGGCACCTGTACACACATGATGTGTATATATACATTGGGCACACGTGCATACACATAAAATTTAAAAAAAAAAATCAATTTTTAAAAATGGAACAGGAAGCCAGACAGTGGTGGCGCACGCCTTTAATCCCAGCACTGGGAAGGCGGAGGCAGGTGGATCTCTGTGAGTTCGAGGCCAGGCTGGTCTACAGAGTGAGTCCCAGGAGAGCCAGGGCTACTACACTGAGAAACCCTGTCTGGAAAACAAAAACAAAAAGAAAAGAAAATGTTCAATCATGGTCCCTTAACCTTGTTGCCTGGAGCCCTCTGTGACACAGTACGTCATGGCTGAGGAGACTGCTCACCTCACGGCAGCTGAGAAGTAGAGAGAGAGAGAGAGAGGAAAGGACTGGAGTACCGGTGTCCCTTTCTCGGGTACCTCCTAGCAGCTCGAGTTTCTTCCACTAAAGGCCCCACTTCCCAAGTGTCTACTACTTCCGGTAGCCCCATAGGCTAGTGACCAACACTGTAATACATAAGCCTCTGGGGGACGTTCAGTGTGTCGATGATAGCACCATAAGTGGTTGGACAATCTAGAAAAGTTACATGAGCCTGCATGTAAAGGAGGTCAACTACCCAGAACTCCAGGAGCAAAACTCGTTCTAGACCCACAGAGTCTTCAAACCTCCCATTTGAACATTCAGAGAAAATCTGTTGCTTCAGCCCACAGTGTCTCATTTAGAACCAGTGTTAGTGAGATGGATCAAATCCAGTGTTCTTTTTGTGTGTATTTTTTTTTCCCCCATTTATGTATTGATGGGGCTGGAGAGATGGCTCAGCAGTTAAGAGCATTGGCTGCTCTTCCAGAAGACCTGGGTTCAATGCCTAGCACCCACATGGCAGCTCACAACTGTCTGTAACTCCAGTTCCAGGATTTCTGACACCCTCACACAGATATACACGTAGACAAAACACCAATGTACATAAAATAAAAAAATAAAATAAATTATGTATTTATTTATTGAGACAGGGTCTCACTGTGTAACCCTGGCTATCCTGAAATTTACTGTGTAGACCAGGCTGGCTTCAAACTCACCAAGATCCACCTTCTACTGTAAATGCTGGGTTCAAATATATGGCCACCATTTCCAGCCCTTTGTGTGCACTTTAAAGGGCTCTTAGTTCTTATCTTTCTAGAGGGTTCCTCAGTGACATCAGTAATATGCTGGAAGAGCCCCTCCCCACTTTCTCTCTACTCTACGGCTTTCTCCTGGGGAGGAAGGAGAATGAATGAATGGGTCAGGAAGGAAGAAGCCACCCTTGACCCATGGGACTGTGAAGGGGAAAAGGAAAGAAAATTGGTTCCTTTGGTGAGAGCATATAAATGAATATTCACTTTCTTTGAATGGAAAATTATCAAGTCCCTGAAAGTGTTTTAATTTTGTTTCCAAATTTAAAAGTAGTGGCAAAATAAATAAATAAATAAATAAATAAATAAAAAGGGAGCTCAGCAGTTGAAGGTGCCTGCTCCGAAGCCTAATGACCTGAATTCAATCCTCAGGACCCACAGGACTCTTACCACCAAAAGAGAGGACACACCCCTGCAAGTTGTCCTCCGAACTCCACACAGGCACCGTGATACACATGCGTGAGTGCACACACACACACACACACACACACATACACACAATAAATGATGTGCATGGATTTAATGAGGTAAATAAAATCACTAAATAAAAAGCCGCAGTGTTATAAAATGGTGGCTATCAAGACAAACTGTTTAAGCCAGAGCCAACTTGCATGTTGTAGCTGAAACCTCAGGGTATGTTTGTTGTTCATTTGTTTCCCGTTTCTAGGAGACAGGAAGAAGGCTCCGTGTTCTCTACCTCCACTGAACGGGTCTGCTCCTCGGCCTCTTCCTTGTGCTCTCTATCAGGATACAAAGCCCAAGAAGGCAGGGGCTTTGTCTTGCTAAACACTGTCCCATACCGTTAGTGTAACACCTGCTGTGCGGTACCCTCACTAATATTTGCTGACAGAGTGAATGAATACACAGAGCCCCCACGGCCCATCCCCGTGACTAGATTCCACAAGTCCTTTCAGGCTCCTCTGCCCTTTGCTGGCCTTGGCCTTGGCCTTGAGCACTGGGCTAGCGGCTTCAAGGTTAATCACCACCTTGTCGCAGAACAATAGTGAATTCAAGAGTGACCTTGGGAAGATACCTTCTGTGCAGGCTTGTCCGTGAACTTACCAGGGTTTCATTTGATTCCTTGAAACCTGACGGAAGGGTTTCCGCTTCCTACCCCATTGAGGTTTGACCTGGGACATCATAGAGTGGAGTCCAAACATTAGCAAGATGTATCTTTCTCCTCTTTTTCCTTTCATAGTCAACTTTTGGCCTTTTGCTTTTCACTTGTTACTTCTGCTGGTATTATCCCTCAAGGAGCATGTGATACTTGCCGACCAGGTATGGTGGGATACAATTATAATCCCTGCACTGGGGAAGGAGAGGCAAGGTGGATCAGGAATTCAGATTCATCCCTGTCTACATTGTGAATTGGATATCATCCTGGGCTACAGGAGACCTCTTTTTTCTTTTTCTTTTTTCTCTTCTCTCTTTTTTTTTTTTTGAGGAGGGGGCATTTCTTTTTTTTTTTTTTTTTGGTTTTTCGAGACAGGGTTTCTCTGTGTAGCTTTGCGCCTTTCCTGGAACTCACTTGGTAGTCCAGGCTGGCCTCGAACTCACAGAGATCCGCCTGGCTCTGCCTCCCGAGTGCTGGGATTAAAGGCGTGTGCCACCACCGCCCGGCAGGGGGCATTTCTTTTATGGTAGTCTGACATAGTACAGGCATTCGGGTACAATTGAGATCTCTTAGCTCTTGTCCACTGTAGTAGCTCCAAGAGGCCTGACCTCTGAACTTGAAGCTCACCCTGTGTCGAGATAAGCTCTCCACTTTACTTTGAGGTATCAAGAAAGGGAAAGCAAGTGGGACATGGTGGTGCACACCTTTAGTCCCAGTACTCTGGAGATAGAGGCAGGGGGATGTCTGTGAGTATGAGGGCGGCCTGGTCTACATAGTGAATTCCAGGACAGCCAGGGCTATGTAGTGAGACCCTATCTGATGATGATGATGATGATGATGATGATGATGATGATGATAGTTAAAAATAAAAAAGGAGGCCGGGCGGTGGTGGTGCACACCTTTAATCCCAGCACTCGGGAGGCAGAGCCAGGCGGATCTCTGTGAGTTCGAGGCCAGCCTGGGCTACCAAGTGAGTTCCAGGAAAGGCGCAAAGCTACACAGAGAAACCCTGTCTCGAAAAACCAAAAATAAATAAAAAAAAAGGAGAAACCTCACTCAACTGATTTCCAGCACACTGGAAAAAAGTAAACACACCTACCTACGTAAGGACTTAGAGCATCAAGTCAGGCGGTTGCTATGACTTGATAGAGCTGCAAATGTGTGTCCCCAAGCAGTCTGGCATGACTGGGGACGTATGAATTCAGAAATGCTATGATGGACAGGTGTGGATGCTGAAATATTGAAGCAGAACCTAGGTAGAGTGAGCGTCATGAACTCAGGTCTAGCCTGGCATCGTAAATCCGGTACAGCAAACTACTAAAAAGCCCTGGGCAATGCCCGTTGCTTTCTTTGTTTTCTCCTGACCTTGTGGTTGAGAAAAAGGAGTGTGAATTCTTTAGGCCGGAGCCAACAGTGAGATTGCTTGAATCCCACTTTGTCTCTTCCAGGCAGAATTCCCAGCCTAGCCAAGCCTCAGGGGGTCTGAGTTCTCTCTAGTCTTCCATTGTGGGAGGTTTCTGTCCACTCAGGTACAGAAGGGCGGTTTACTGCATGGCAGAGCTCCAGCAGGGGCAGCTGCAAGGGCTTGGGGTTCAGGGGGATCCCTGGGGACACTCAGCCCCCGGGCCCCTGCAGAGGCAACTCAAAGGTGGTTACTGCAACGGAAAGGTTCCACACCAAACCAAGGTTAATACAGAAAGGGCTGCAAAGTAGAAAGCCCCCCCCCCCCCCCCCCCCCCCCGTGCTGCTGTGCCCTAGGCAACAGGTTGAACCCTATCACTCCCTGGCAAATTCACTTGTCAGAAAACGCCAGCGGCTGAGCTCTGGGAAAACGCTGGATTGTGGACTGGTTAGGGTGACTAGGAGATTCCTTCTGCCCGGCTAGCATTGCTTCTCTTGTGTTCGAATTAGATAGAAATCCGAATTAGAAAATCAAGCCCGCATTATCGGGATCCTGACTCCATAAACCCAAAACTACACCGGGAAACACGCGTAACCGTGAAAGGAATGCTATTTGTCTCTCCTTGTGGTGTAGCACAGTGCTGTGACGGAAAACCCCACGAAACAGGAGCGATCAACATGCGCTTCCCAAGTTGACTTTATCCTTGAACCCGGTAGCCCGGGTTTCATAGCCCCGATGGGTGTGGGTGCGTGCTGTGTGCTGTTTTTCCAAACGGTGACAGCATGACTCTCTCTTTGCTTGACCAGACTAAATCTCAATGTTGAGGCATCGTGTAAACTTCTGTGTCTGCTCTTTTCAGTTCTAGGGAAAATCCGAACTGCGGTGGGCAGCGCCCAACTTCTCATGGCGCAGAAATTCTACCAGTTCAGAGAACTGTGTGAAGAGAACCTGGTAGGTACCACCCACATCACCGCGACTCCTTGCTAGCACAGCCGGGAAAGACCTTGTCCTCAAAACTGGCCCAGCCAAAGCCAAACTCAGATTGAACCAAGTGTTGGAGTCTTTTAACAGATGAATCTGGCTTCCCGCTTTTCATTAAATAAAACAGACAAAAACCTCACTTTATTCTACACTTAAATAATCTTAGGGGCAGAATTAAGTTAAAATTCCATGTCCTGATTTTTTTTTTTTTTTTTGGTATTGAAAACTTTCCGTGTTCCTAGATTTTTTACGATGCTTTTGATTTTCTTATTCTTACTAAAATATGGAGCAACCGATGTTTTCTAAATACTGTTACAAAGGAAACTGTTTTGGCTCATGACTCTCTTTCTAAAATAGCCGTCAGTGACCGTGTCTCCTGATCAGAGTTTTGTTTTAATTCAAAGGCCAGAGGCTGAGGGTATCACAAAACGTAGATTAGACACCCTGAGACAAGTGAGTGCTCCACCTACCTCTGACATACAAAAAAAAGGAAGGAAAACCCTCTTCGGATAATAGCAGCAATAACAGCAATAGCATTTGCTAATTTGACAGTGAAATACAGGTCAAGAGCCTTTTCAAGGAGGCCGTAAAGAAGGCCTCCATCCTCCAAGAGTGACCTCACTAACACAACTGCTGTTGGTCAGGCTGACTCTAAAACAAAGCCAAGGAAAAGCAGCTCATTGATGTGTGGAAAGTGAAAACATGATTGACATCTAAATGACCCAGATAGGGCTTTAGAGGTTTAACTCTGTGTCCTAGGTGCTGCGTTTTCTCCTCAAAGGAATCTAGTCCAGGGCAGGCAAGATGGCTTCTGGGTAAAGGGGCTTGCTGACAAGCCTGATGTTCAGTCTGCAGAACTCACATGGTGGACTCACAGAGGCCCAACTCCCATCCTTACACACACACACACACACACACACACACACACACACACACACATATACATTGTGGCATGTGCACCAACCCCACCCTCACCCACCCACCCTCACACTGAATAAATGTAAAAACAGAATTGATGAGCAAGTTCCCAGGTATACTACAAAATAGAACATAAATATTGTGCACATTTTAAAGATAAAATTGCAGGTGCCTTTTTTCCCCCTCCTGACCCTTTTATTGTTGAAATTAAAAAAAATAAAAGATATTTAAATACAATGGTGAACATATAGGGCAAAACAGAATCATAAAATGTAATGTTCAATTAAGCAGTGAGCTGAAGGTTTGGGTTTCCAAATAGGCTCTGAACCCAAAACTGCTTAAAAATGGGCATGTTCACATTTAACAGTAATTGGCTTATAGGTGAGAGAACGAGCCTTTTGTTGTTTTTTGTTTGTTTGTTTGTTTTAATGTGTGCTGATTCCTAGAAATTGTCAAGTTCATGAAAGCCAGCTTTTGACATCTTGTCATTCCTCACAGTGGCTCTTGTGGCCACTTGAGAAAGTCTCTATTTATGGTAATGCCACAGCAACAGAGGAAGGTCATTGGTACTGCTCAAACCAGGCCTCTGAAGAACAGGTCCAGCACCAAACGTGACAGATGCCCTGGGTAACATCTCAGAATGGGCATTTGGAGTTACTGGTGGATTTATTTATTTATTTATTTATTTAATTTTTTTTTTTTTTTTTTGGTTTTTCGAGACAGGGTTTCTCTGTGTAGCTTTGCGCCTTTCCTGGAACTCGCTTTGGAGACCAGGCTGGCCTCGAACTCACAGAGATCCGCCTGGCTCTGCCTCCCAAGTGCTGGGATTAAAGGCGTGCGCCACCACCGCCCGGCTATTTTTATGATTTATAGGTGGGATAGATGGGCATAAAATGTTAAGAAACTTCGCTACCAGCCCACGGCAAAAGCGGAGTCCAGAATCAAACCCTTGTCTGTTCAGGCTCCATTGCCATAAATCCTAGGCAGGCTGTGAATTTCAGCCCTCACCTTTGCAGAGGGGAATCATCCCAGGAAACAGTATGGCCTGATGGGTAGTTCCGCTTAGCACTACAACTGTAGGAAAGTGACCCCAAGGGGCAGCAAGATGGCTCAACAAGTAAAGGAGCTTGCCGCCAAGCTGGATAATGACCTAAGTTTGGTCCCTAGTACCCATAAGATGGAAAGAGAAAAGCAGCTTCTGCCAGTTGTCACCTGACCTCTGCCTACTTGCCCTGGCACCACCCCCAGCACATACACATGATAAATAAATGTGTGTGTGTGTGTGTGTGTGTGTGTGTGTGTGTGTGTGTGTGTGTGTGTGTTTAAAAGTGACTATAGGGCCAGTCAGAGCCAGGTACAGCTGTTCTTTCTTTAGTTCCTCTTCCTTTGAGGAAAAAAAGAAGACAGTTTGAAAACACATTTATTCCAGACTAGATTCTCAAGTTTACAGTGAATGGATGAAATTTGGGATTTTTTTCCAGCATAACTAAACCTGGGGGGACGACACCCCCTGACTCTCCCTCAAATCTCAGAGACGATATGGTTTAGACTCAGCCATACTATCTTATGACTCATACTCTCATATGACTGCTGAGTTAGAGAACTACTTACACTCTATTTCCTCATTTGTCTTTTTGACAACATGGGGCAAAGAGATTCCTTTGGGGGCAAGACCACGTTGCCCATGATACAGAGCTAAGCACATCTAAGGAACCACTTACATAAGCTTAGGCTACTGAACTGTAGGGTGACTGTGCCCAAACCCAAAAAATCCCAAACCAGAAATTCTCTAAAATCTAAAACTTTGAGGACACCAAAGCATTGCTACTATATATACATCTGACCTCATATAACGTGTCACAGTCAAAATGCAGGCACATTAAAAATGTACATACTACATTCAGACTGTGTGTACAAGGTGTATGTGACATGTACATGAATTTCACATTAAGACTTACATTCTGTCTCTAAGATATCTCACGATGGATAGGCAATCATTTCCAAATCCTATGAACTCCAACATCTCGACATCTGGTCCCAAGGGCTTCGGATAAGACACTCAATCTGTATTATTTCTTTCATTGGTGCTAAAACAACAGTAAAACTTGTGACCCAGAAAATGTCACTGAACTCCAAATTATAAACTGTTTAGTTTTCCATTATGGATAAGGCTAAGTACGTTGTGAAATCATGAACTATTGAGAAGTGCTTTGTCAAATCTACTATCCATTCTGAATGTTGAGGGTTTGTTTGTTTGTTTATTTGTTTTATCCCTTTTGGTCTTTTGTTGCTTGCAATGTAGCCTCACACTTAAGGTGTTCTTGTTTCAGCTCACGTGGTGGTAGGATAATTGATATTGCCACCACACGCCTTGAGGCTCTTCTATAGTAGTTGCTGTTTACTGAGTCAAACTATTACAAAGAATGCCCTTTGTTCATTCAAGTGTCATTAGAATCTTTTTTATGTTTTGTTGTATTGACTTTATTTTGATTTGTTTTGGCTAGGTGCTAAAGATTGAACCCAAGGCCTTGGGCATGTAACACCAGGCCACACTCGCTCTCATCCCTAGAATAGATTTTCGTGTTGAACCAAGCACTTGAAAACTCTAAAGTTTATGTATTCCGAAGAATCTAATGGCTGTGAGTAGTTTAGGAACTCTACACACATCGGTGCTTCTTCATCTGCATTTATTTTGAACGAGGCCAGTCGTACTAGCTCATCCTCAGATGCAGATGTTGTTTCCAACCTTTAAACAATCAGATGACCAACAACCTCTACACGGTCTGAAATGCTGATGATACCATTTTCTTGGGGTTAATTTGGAATATTCAAGCTGGCCTCAGTCATCCTAGGACATGGGGATTTACAGTTGTTCATAAATCTAAGAAATAATGAGAAATGGCACTGGCCAGAAGCCCCTGACACGGTAGGGGAGGAAGACTCCTGCCGTCTGACGGTAACGCCTTCAGCTGCTTTTGCAGATGGTGCTTGGCAATGACCGTGATAACAGATTACAAAGAAATCCACTCTTGGGCCAGATGTGGTAATGTGCTCTGGTAGTCTTTCCGCTCAGGAGGCTGAGGTAGAAGGTTGGAGATTTACAGGCCGGCCTAAATTACATACCAAGTTCTTGAGCAAACAAACCAACCAAATTCAATTCTCGGCCTGTTCCAGGAGTGCTTGTTTCTCAAGCCTGATGACCTGAGTTCAATTCCTGGAATCCACACAAAGGTGAGAGGAGAGAGACAACTCAATGAAGTTGTCCTCTGACCTCCACACACGTCTTGTAGGGTGCACACACACTCACACATGCACACACACACTCACACACACACACACAAGATAATAATAGTTTTTGTTTGTTGTTTTGTTTTGTTTCAAGTTTTTTTTTAGACAGGTTCTTACTATGTAACTCTGGGTATCCTGGAACTCTGTAGACCAGGCTGGCCCTGGAATTCACAGAGATCTACCTGCCTCTGCCTCCCAAGTGCTGGGATTAAAGGCATGCACCACTATGCCTTACTGATAATATAAAAATTTAAAATGATTCTTTAAAATTTTTTTTGTTGCTGTTTTGTTGTTATTGTTGGTAGTTTGGTTTTTCGAGACAGGGTTTCACTATGTGGCTTTGGATATCCTAGAACTCACTCTGTAGACCAGGCTGGCCTTGTCACTCAAAGATACACCTCTCTCTGCCTCCTGAGTGTTGGGCTTAAAGGCAAACACTACCACTGGTTAGCAAAAAGTCAGTTCTTAAACACTGAAAGATATCTACTATTCTGAAAAGGGAATTATTGCCAACATACATATATATGTACGTGTAAAGATAATGTTTCTGACATTTGCTATATTTAAAACTAGGTAATTTCCGGGCTGGAGAGATGGCTCAGAGGTTAAGAGCTCTGACTGCTCTTCCAGAGGTCCTGAGTTCAATTCCCAGCAACCACATGGTGGCTCACAACCATCTGTAATGAGATCTGGTGCCCTCTTCTGGCCTGCAGACATACATGCTGTATACATAATAAATAAATAAATCTTAAAAAAAAAAAAAAAAAAAAAAAACTAGGTAATTTCCAATAGGTCATCTGATAAAATGATTCTTTATTATATATATCAGTAACATCTCAATTACTGAACACATAATTGTTTCAGGGACTAGATATGTGTATCCATGGTTGATCATTTGCTTCCAATATACAAACTCTGGGCTCAGTCTCTAGCATCAAAGAAGCCACATCAAGCAAAGTACTTTGAAAATTCCTTATTGCTTATCAATTCTATACCCTAGTATTTCACTCAACATGAGTCCTAAAACTAATCTCATTTTAGAATTCTCATCTGTTCTCTGAATAAGCTGTGTGGCATGAAGTTATATGTGATTTTTTTTTTCAAAGATAGTGTTTTCATTTAAATACATTGTTTTAAAATGCATCCAGTAAGAGATAACACATACTGGGATTTTTTTCAAATGTTTAGACTCTCCCCACTTATCAAACTGAAACAACCATTCTGTTGTAAGGACAGAGGAATTTTGCAACCTTGACATTTGAAAATCAGAGACTGGAATGGGGGCATGTATAAAATTACCATTTGTAGCCTCACTTTTATCTCTTATCTGAAAACCAAAAGGAACTCAGCCTCCTTAGGTTCTTTGAAATGTTTGAAAATGCCTTTTGGGCCCTGCTTGCTGTCATATTGCCTCTAAAGCATCAATATTTTTTTCTCTCTTTTGCACAGAATCCCAATGCTCATCCAAGACCCACTTCCCAGGATTTGGCGGGGTTTTGGGACATGCTGCAGTTGTCCATAGAAAATATTAGTATGAAATTTGATGAACTTCATCAGTTAAAGGCCAATAACTGGAAACAGATGGATCCTCTTGACAAGAAGGTAGAACAATGTAGATTTTGTATGGTTCATTTAAAAACCTGCACAAACACTGGACAGTCTAAATAGGCTTCTGCATCCAGTCCTGCTGTTTACAATGTGAAATGGAGCTGGTATCATATTCATTTCATTGTAATGACAATGTTTACATACTAATCACTTGGGATATTATCTGTAATATGTTTCAGGCATATTTTTGAAGAAAAATACCTGTCTTTGTGAATTGGAAAGTGGGAATGTGGCTTTTCTTTATCTTTTTCCCTCTTTCTTCTTTTTCTTTCCTTCTTTTTTCTTTTCTTCCCTTTGTTAATTAAACTTTAAGTTAAACCACTTTAGACACTGGAAGGAACTGACTCCAGTTTTGCTTTCTAAGCTAAAATAAATGACCTCTTCAGAGCCTGGTTCCATAGAGCAAGAGTTCAACTTCCTTGCACCCTCAGGATGTGTTTCTGGGAAAACCTGAGAAGTAACTGGCTGACAATCATCTCATAAATATTCTCCATTCTAAATAGGAGGCTTACAGTCATCATAAACGTGGAGATTTTTTTTTTCGAATTTTTTTTCGAATTTTTTCAAATTAGATTTGCCTGGGAGGACATTGTTCCCTGGGATCTTCCTGAGACAGTTTAGAAATAGACTTAAATTATTTTAATTAATCAATAATAATTTCATATTTGATTACTGTGATTCCACAGTAATCAGGCTTCTACAAGTATCTAATGTCTGTCTTCCCAGGCTGATCTGTCCTGTATGAGGTTTTTTTGTTTTTTTTAATAACTTTTGTTCTTCTATGATCTAAGGTCTTCTATGATCTAATAGTTCCAAGAGATACACCTCTGAAAATGAGGGATGGCTATTCCCTCAGCAGTGAGAGCCCTGCCCTTTTGGGTCTCCTGACCCATCACGAGCTAACAGTAATCCACTGTTGCCCATCATTTCCAGGTGTATGGGATCAGTGGGTACCCAGGACATACCCAGTCCCAAAGGACTGTCTATAAGGAGTCCAATGCTGTCACTACTATCCACTGTCTCCAATTCTATGACCATCCAACTGGGGGGTTAGAACCAAGCTTGAGGTACCATTGATGTGTGTGTGGCCTCTACTTTGAGAAGCCAAACATTGTGCTTCATCTAGTTTTCTTTATGTGTGAAACTATCTGCTGGCAAATCGGTCTTAAAAGTATACACACGTGTACACAGGCTGGAATTTTAGTACTGCTCCATCTAATTTCTCACCTACTGATTCTTTAATATTATTGTTAAAAAAAAAATAAAGTGTGCAAAGAAAGAAAAATGACTAAAAAGTTTCCAATATTCCTACTTTTAAAAATATCTACCAATTACCCCACAATGAAGATTTTAAATGTCCCGAAGAAGTGATGGAAAGAAATTGTTACATGTGATTTATTGGTGTGTGACCTAATAATAAATTATTAGCTTAATTTTTAAGTTTTTTTTTTTAAACGCACTTTGCTTATGATCAGAGTTTTTTCATCCTCTTTTGAACCTGACAGGAAAACAAATAATGAAGGGACAGAGGTGGTGGGAGACTGCACGCTGTCCTCTCCCTTTTTTGTCCTTTCAGAAACGCAGGCTCCACTTTAAACAACCGTGGGCCAAGTCCAAGTGTAATAATACCACTGAACTCTGCCTCTCTCCCTGGCAAGGGAGGAGGGGGCACCAGTGTTAAGCCGGGTACTCGGTACCTTCACGATGAACTTCATGTGTGACTTCATAAGGATGCAGGGTGTTTTATTTAAATGGCAATGTGGGGTTTGTGTGGCCCCTTCCACAGCCTGAAAGCTCAACATCTTTCTCCTAAAAGCATCCTTTGTGGCTTTAGATGCCTCCCCCCCCCCCCCCCCCGTACGGTTATCGTGAAGACATGAGGGGCTGTATTTTGCAGTAGATTAGAAAAGATCTGATACCATTTCAGAGTTTGCTGATAAGAGGGACGGCCTTTTCCAGTCCTGTTTTCAACTTTTGATAGCAAAGCTGGGATTGTCTTCGGGGCCTTCACAAGCATGCTGAAACCCCTAGGGACTGATTGATGTGCTGGAAAAATCTTCCCCAGAGTAGGGAATGCCAGCGTCTACCCACTCAGTGACCCCGTACAATCTATGGCTGTGTGTTCCTGTGTGATGTGCAAAAAGGGTGTAAGTCCAGTGGCACCATCGAAGCCGAGAAACGCAATCTTATAGTATCTGGCTACTTAGGAATGGGTAGAGGAGAAGGAGGCTGGGTAGACACAGGGAGAAGGCGCAGGGAGAGGGTAGAGAGGGTTTTTGTTCTCTAACCCAAGCTCCTACCTGGTGCCTCAGAGACATACATCTTAGAGTTCTAAATCATCCTGTAGCTGTTGAGATCTCCTGGCCCATCCCTAGCACCAGGAAGAATCTGGTGTATGCAGACAGAGCCACCCTCACTGTGAGGCGCAGGGAGCCTTTTGCAGGGGTGCATTTTAAATGCCTACACCCTGCCGTGGAAAGACCTAGTTCTTCGATCCAGCCTTACCCTCGGCCTTCAGCGTAAGAGATTATGTGTTGTCGGGTTGTTTTTTTTTTTTTTTCTTTGCATCTTTTGAATACCCAAGCCAGAGCAATGAAGAGAAATCATATATCCAGTGTGCAGATCAGAACTAACCATCCGTAGGTTAAAAAAAAAAAAAAAGGCAGAAGTGTGTGTGTGTGTTTTCCAAAAACTCACCTATCCCAGTCTTTCCCAAGCTTGTCCTGAGAAGCTGTGTAATGTCCTGAACCTGAACCTTCTGCTTTGATCAGGAGCGAAGGGCCCCTCCTCCAGTGCCAAAGAAGCCGGCGAAGGGCCCCGCGCCGCTGATCCGGGAGCGCTCGCTGGAGAGCTCGCAGCGCCAGGAGGCCCGCAAGCGCCTGATGGCCGCCAAGCGCGCCGCGTCGGTCCGCCAGAACTCGGCCACCGAGAGCGCGGAGAGCATCGAGATCTACATCCCCGAGGCGCAGACCCGGCTCTGAGCGCCGCCGCCGCCGCCGCCGCCGCCGCCGAGGACCGTCCCGCCGCCCTCCCCTCGGCCGCCTTCCCGTCCCCTCCGTCTCTGAGCTCAGTGACCGCCACCGTGGTCGTGGCCCTAGTTGTCCACCTCGCAGGAGCCGTCCCCAAGCCGCCCCACCCCGCTTCCTGGACCACTTTGCCCATCTTCTCCACCGAGCTTCGCTCCCCTGTGTCCTGAAGCCTCATGCAGACATCCAAACCCTTTCTTTTTCTGGGACAAACAAACCCACCTGTGTAGAAAAAGACCCCTGTAGGTCACTCACCCTCCTCAGTTCTCTCAAGCTAGCGTGTCCCTAGAACTCAGCAATATAAAACCATAGGGTATTTCAGAAACCCAGTATCACACAGGGTGATCCTTTGAGACTTAACCGTCTTCCACGTGAAAGAAACGAGGGCTCCGATTCCCTTTATTTGCCCCCCAAACGGTTATTTTTACAAGCAGACAGAGCGCTTTATTTCTAATCTCAGAAATCACACCATCTTGTCGGAATCAGTGGTGACCAAGAGAGGGGGGATCAAGCTGGCCTGGGGTGGGAGGCCTGGGTGTGTAGGAGAGCAGGGCAAAGTGTGCAGGTACCCTGCATCTGTACCTTCGCAGCTGAACAAACTGCCTCACTGGTACTCCATCAATCACAGCTTCAAATGTTTCAATCAGCAGAAGATTGTAAATTCGCTCTTTCAGGGAAATTAATCTATTCTGAAAGGCAATAAAATGAGGAAAGTTAAGGCAAAGGAAACTCCGATGGTTTAAGATCCTATATAAGGAATCTATTTATTTATCTTATTATTAAGAAAATTTAGACCTGAAATGTTTTATCAACTTTTCTTGTACTCTGTGTATTATAATGTCATGGCAGTGGTTTTTAAATGGGGGGGGGGGGGGAGTTGGCTCTGTTAATTTAGTGTCCATTCGGGTGGGCCCACTTAAGATTTCATACACACACACACACACACACACACACACACACGCACGCACACACACGTAAGAACACTCTGCTTCTCAAAGACCGCAAGGCCATTTCCAGAGAAGAGTTCCGGTTCTCTGCCACCCCTTTGAATGCTACACATCTGTCTAGTTTAGCCCAGCACGTCACATTTCAGGGGTCTCCTCTCACTCCAATACAGGGTTCATGTGTCCCCCAGCACAGGATTCTTGTCCTATATCAAATGAATAAAATAAAAGGTTTTCTACCCCAGGTGACATGCCGCCTCCTTCCAAAGAGCGGTCATTATGATCCTGAAGTTCCAAGTATTGAGAGAAGTCATCCGATTTACTCGGTAGCCAAGAGCTATGAGGAGCGAGGGAAGTAGGCATCCATACACGCTGATAGAAACCCAAGTGTTTGGTTGGACTCCAGGCTTCCTTTGGCTTGTAGTTTAGTCGTGGTCGATGGGCTGTGTGCGCTGGCATCCTGCTGAAGTCTTCAAATGCCCTTACTTGTAGCAGTTTAAACATTCAGAATGCGGCAGTCTGAAAGGGGCAGGCATCTATTATGGCAAGCTTGCAACCTAAAGAATTAGAAATTTGCCATTGAAAAATGAAAGTCTTTTAAAAAAAAACAAAACCTGCTTGCACCAGAGATGCTTAAAAACAAAACAAAACAAAAAACAAATACACTCTCATAGCCAGGTGCTAATTTAATTTTCTTTACAAAATTGAGAGAAGCAATGGGTTCTGGCAACCAATATCTTCAGACGTATTCTAAAACCACTAGAGAATTCGCTACCTCTCAGAGCCGTTGATGCTTTGAGCTACCTTTAACAACAGGGCACAAATGTTTACTGCTGTGGTTTACAAGAAAAGGGCTACTAACTTATTTAAAAACAAAAAACAAAAACCAACTTTTAACTAGGGCAGACGAAGTCAGTGCTTTCTCACACCGGAGCAGAGAATTTTTGAGCTTCAAGTATTTGCTCGTTTCAAAAAAGACACGCTTTTTCTTCACAGTGGAGCAGCAATTAAATGTGATGTGAAGTACGCAGGAGTAAGGCCAACTGTCACCTTGGGTAGTCCATGGTCACATTCATCCAAGACAGACGTGGAGTTCACAGGAAGCAGCGTCCAGGCTAGTCCCACTCTCACTGCTACAGCTCTGTGCCCTGAGGTAGAGTTCAGTTTCTAACGTGATTCCAGATTCTCCTACAGTGTTTCCTTTGGAAACTGATTTAGCCCAGGCTATTTTAAAGAGGGATAAGAGAAGGCCTACTATTTATCTTGTCTAAGGGAATGGCATTTGTATATTCATAAGCTATTTTTGGTAAGAATTTTAAATCTTTTAGCTGAACGCCTGCAGGGCATCACAACCTTTGCCTTCCTGAAAAACACAGTTTAAACTGTACAAACACTTTATAAAAAAAGCTAATTATTGATGTTAGGACATGACCCCCACACAATACAGCTTATTATCCACTGGAACCCGGAACTAACATCCGTGAACCTTTGTTGCGTTATTCTTTTTGATGTAATTTGTAGAGATGTTTTTTAGTTCATAATGAACAGTGTATGTACCCTGAAAAATTACTTATTTTGTTTAACTTTGGTATAAAGGTGTTGGGCATTTTCTTGGGGTGGGGGAGGGGGGGTTACAAAAGAAATTTGTCTCCCTCATCAAAAACAAACAAAAAAATACGTTCAAAGAAATTAAGTATTTATTATATTTTTTGCAGATGTTTCCATACAATTCACATAACCTTTTTGTAAAGAGAGATGAAGAAATGGATTAAAGATTTTTAATATTTGAAATGGTAAATAGAGCTAATTTATTTGTAATATATTTCTGTTATTTATAGATGTTCCCTTAATGTTTTACTGTGCAGTACCTGCTTTAATTTAAGCCTTATCCTTGTGAATTTACCATTTCTTTTTTAAGAACATGTCTAGATGCATATTTTAAATAACTGGAATGTAAATCATTAGCATATCTGAATTCCCTAATGTAATTTTTAAAAATTATTTTGGTTTGGGGAAAAAAAAAGATTCATTTGAGAAAGCCTTCAGATGGAGGGGTGGGGAAGATTTTTATGGCTTTCTGAATTGGAATTTCATAGGCTTATTTACCTAGATTGTGTGTGGACAAAAAAAAACAAAAACAAAAACAAAACAAAAACAAAAAACAAAAACCAACCTGTAAATACATGAATGTTTCCCATAATGTAAAAAGACGGAATTAATAAAATAATCAATGCACTGCTTTCAGGCTTGCGTGTTTTTACTGAAGCCCTGAGTCTTCCAAAATCTAAGTGGTTGTCTTTGGAAGTGGGTAGCTCGGCCACTAAGGGGCACATCACCCTTCTCACTCTCACTGTAATGACACACTAAGCTCCTTACCCACTGCTGCACAGGTTGTGGGAGATCCTGTCTAAAGGATTTCAGACCTAAAGCACTGAAGTCTCTTATTCTGACGGTCACCTATGCTTGGAGTTTGGAATCAGGGGCTCCTACCACCGCGTTATCTAACAGGCACAGATTATGAATGACGCTATAACCAGTTTGATTTCTTTGCATACATGCCCCCCATTGTGTTTCCCACACAGTTCTCAAGGGTAAAATCAGCGTTGTACTTTGTGGTTTTTTTTTTTGTTTTTTTTTTTTATTCCATCCTCACAGTAATAGAAACTGTGTATGTCAGTGACAGAGACTGTGTTTAGCATGTGTGAGGCCCTGGATCTAATCCTCAGTACCACAAAGAAAGGAGAGGGTAAAAGAAAAAAAGAAAAAAAAATTTGGTCACAGTTTAATTACTTACCAATTCAACACAGTTACTAAGGGATGGATTTGAATCTAAAATGCAGGCCTGTGTTGAGTGTCTTCAGTACTACCTCTGTCTTCTTTCCATAGTTCACACTGGTCAATTATTTACCACTGTCGTTTTCGCCTGGGTTTAATGCTTACAAAGTGGACTTGCACTCATCAGTTGGCTGAAAAAGTCTGACAGCTGTGTCCACAGTACCTCCTTCCCCGTTTCCTCCAACTTCTTGGCAAAATCCATCCATCTATATGGCAGCAGACTTGGAAATGAGTATACAGACAGGCATCTTTTCTGATTTCTGTGCCAGTCACCAAATAACACAATATACCGTTGAAACTTGAGAAGCAAAATGATCAACTGACCGAATCCCTGGAGGCCACAAAGATCTCAGGACCTGGATAAGCACCCACCACTCCTCTCATCTCATCACATTCCTTGCCTTCTCACGCCTCGGTTTTATTTCATCCAGGCTCCTTAAACATTCCAGCCAATCCCCAAACTGAGTTTGCTTTTGAATGTAGGAATCTGAAGTTGAAGAACTCTGGCTGAGGCAGGAGGATCAAGAATTCAAGTCCAGCCTGGGCTACGTGGAGAGAACCTGCCTAGAAAAACAAAGGAAAAGAAAGAGAAGGAGGAGAATGAGAAGAAGGAGGAGAAAGAGATGAAGGAGAGAGAGAAGGAGGTTATTTTAGTGAAGCAGTTTCCCATGTCAAGGTCTAACCCCTCCTGGAAAATGTAATTTAGGTTTTGTTTTGCTTTGTTTTTTTAACAGAAATTGGAAAAAATAAATAAAAGTTTGTTAAGAACATGACTTTTAAAAAAAAAAATCTTTGAAACCCACTCTTTGAAAGCACAAACTGATTTTGGTTTAAATAAATGACATGTGTATTAAAATTATAGTGTCTGAGTGCTAAAGTTTTCCTTTTGTTTGTTCAATATGCTGTTTGACTTTTGGCCGAGACACCAAGACCCGATCAATTCCTTTTGCAAACAGAAACCGATGACCCTGTCTGAAATCCCTCCTTGGCGTCTAACTAATTTTTAAGTTTGCAAAATCGGTCTTAAATTGCCCTTAAGTCACTCATTGTCTCCCACGAAGCTGAGAGAGAGCGGGACTACTCCAGGGACACCAGTCTTCCCTGTGAAAATCCCAAGAATGGGAAGCCCCGATGTCATCCTGTGCCTTGGTTAGGAGGCCAGGGGATTAGCTCCATATGTCTTCTAAACAAAGGAACGCAGGCCTGAACTTAGAGTGAGCAAGGCAGGGAGCAGGGGACATTTTAATAAATGGCAAAAACCAAGGTCTGTCCCATCACAGACCATATACTGTTGTCAGTGCCACAGAATGTTCTCCATACCACCTATGAAGAGTGTTCCTCTTTCTAGTCCCTGTTTTGGACAAGCAGATGTTAGTGCCACCTGGAAACCTGATGGGTGAACAAACCGGTGTCACCAGGCAGCTTCTTCTGAGATCTCACTGAAGACTCTTCAATTGAGAGACTTTCACCTTGGAGAGGGAAGCAGATAGAGCGCTGTATCCCCGGATACCCAGCGCAAATGCATTCTTCCCCGTGGCTCTTCAAGGGGGTCATAAATGACAACACCTGTTTTCTGTAGTCCCACACCCTGACATCTTGAATGCTTTAGGTGCTAACACTCTACAGAGAAAACATCCCAGCATAGCTAGGATCTCACAGTCGGCGCTCCTTACCCCTGGGTTCCAAATGCCCACATTCAGCCAACTGTGAATCTGTAATACTTGGAGGGGCTGGCAAGATAGCTAAGCAGGGAAAAATGCTTGCCATCAAGTCGGACAACCTGAATTCAGTCCTCAGTACCAACCTGGTGGAAGGAGAGATCCAACTCCTACAAATTGTCCTTTGACCTCCACATACAAACCTTGGCACACATACACACACACATTAAGAAATATAATAATAATTTTTAACATATATATTTGGAAAAAAGTATCTATACTGAGCATGTATAAATGTTTTTCATTATTTTCTAAATAATTTACTACAACAACCTCTTACATAGCCATTGTATTGTAAGAAGCCAGAGACGAGGACGCAGCAGGATGTGCTCAGGTGGCGTGTAAATTTTATATCATTTTATATGAGAGCATCCACAGGTTCTGGTACCCAAGGCTTTGGAACCTGTCACCCATAGATATTGTGAGATGACTGATTGATGGACACTGCCTTTTTCTAGGAGTTCGGAGTCCAAGGCCTACCAACAGTTTCGATGATGCAAAAGATAGAAGGGGTTAAATGATACTATATATGGCCCCATCCAGGCAAGAACACATCTACTTAGATTAAAATAAAAATATTCTGAGCCGGGCGGTGGTGGCGCACGCCTTTAATCCCAGCTCTCGGGAGGCAGAGCCAGGTGGATCTCTGTGAGTTCCAGGCCAGCCTGGGCTACCAAGTGAGTTCCAGGAAAGGCACAAAGCTACACAGAGAAACCCTGTCTCGAAAAACAAAAAGAAAGAAAGAAAGAAAGAAAGAAAGAAAGAAAGAAAAAGAAAGAAAGAAACTATTCTGCTAACTGGGGCTGCAGAGATGGGATAGTGGGTAAGAGTGCATGCTGATTTTCCAGATGCCCCGGGTTTGGCTCCCAGCATTGGTAGTGGCTCACAAATCCACTAGTAACTAGTAACTGTAACTAGGTTCATAGGAATTGATACCTTCTTTTGGCCTCCAAGGGCACTGCACACATGGCGTACATACACATATGCAGATAACATTCATGCACACAAAATAGAAATGGATGTATCTTTTAAAATACGTATTCTACTAACTGAACATTTCAGTCCACTTTAAGGAGCGAATTTGTTACTTACTGTCTTGTTAGGGAGGAACCTCTTGCCATAGAAAACATTCACTTCTATACCTGACTCTTAAAGGTACCAGATTTCTCCCATTGTTTTCTTTCCAAACTAAAAATCTCATGTGTTTCACAGCTTGAGGTCGTATGGCCAAGTGAGCAAGGAGGTTGATCCCAAAGGCTGCTCTTGAACAAAGGTATACATGAATAATTTGAATGATTCTGTCTTGGATTCCTTTAGAGTTTAACTTAACACATTTCTTGGGGAGAACTCCCCCCTCCCCCCCAGCTCCCAGCATGTTCAGGGAAAAAGAGTCTTTCTACACTGGGTGGAGCATAGAGGTTCGCTGTCTTCTCTGCGGCTTGGCCTGCAGGGAGTCTTCGTGAACCTGCCACTTCCAACATGGAGCCTGTTTGTTGTGTTTGTTGACGTTAGCAAGGTAGTGAGTGAAAAAGACTGAAGGGCCCTTTCCATATGAGCCAGTATTTTTGTATCCGGTCTTGGATAGGTGCCCACAGTGAATGCCATGAATAAGCAGGGGAATCTGTGAAATCTCAGAGAGTGGAAAGTCTGGTCAATTGTTTCGAAAGCTCAAACGGTAGAGGGGCCGGCACAGAAGAATGGGATTTCCAAACTGAATTTGAATGAACATTGAACACTTTGTAAATCATGGTGATGTGAGAGAGTAACCCTTCACATGAAAATAGATCAGGGGTTTGCTCATTCTTAAAATGGACCTACAATGTGTTTGAATCCAGGCTGACACTGGGTCCTTTGTTCATGGATGTGATTTGTGCAGAACAAAGTTGTTGTTTTAAAGGCTAAAAATGAACACATTCGAGAATTTCAAGACGGAAAGAGTAAGCTCAGTATGAGGCCGACTGTTCACTGCAGCTCTTCCATGTGAGAGTCAACATAGTTGAACAGTTTAGTGTATGCATAGCCTTCCAGCACTCATCTGTGGGTTTTTGACTGTGGCAGCACACTCCACATACCCCTGTTTTACTTAGTAACCTATTACTCCGTTTCAGAGCACTGTGACCCACCTACTTTCCTGACCAGTTTCATGGTGTTCCCTTTTATGCATGAGCCATGATAGACTTTTGTTGTTGTTGTTGTTTGGTTTTTCAAGACGGTTTCTCTGTGTAGCCCTGGCTGTCCTAGAACTCACTTTGTAGACCAGACTGGCCTCAAACTCAGAGATCCGCCTGCCTCTGCTTCCCGAGTGCTGGGATTAAGACGGGCATCACCAAGCTTGGTTCATGATCTGCTATTAAATCCTCTTATGTTGGACTTTTCAGCTATTTCCATCATTTGCTGTGATCAAAAATAAACCGAAGTTAGCAGGGGTGGGCGGGGTACACGCCTTTAATCCCAGCATTTGGGGGGCAGAGGCAGGCAGATCTCTGTAAATGGGAGGCTAGCCTGGCCTACATAGTGAGTTCCCGAATCATGAGTTCTAGGACATCCAGGTATACATAGAGAGACCCTGTCTCAAATAAAATAAGATAAAATTGAAGTAAAATCATTTTGCCATGTATCTTCAAATTATATGGAACTATATCTGCAGAATATATTTCTAGACCAATGGACATGCATTTTTTCTTTTA